CATTCCGACCTGGGTGAAGTGAGGAAAATTCGTGTAAAGTGCCTTTCCCAAGGACACAACGTCGGGCCCCTGACGAGATTCGAACCCACGACCTTACGGTTGCGAGAGTACAGGTCATTGCCTTATACAGGTGGCCGTTAGAGTAGGCTCGATGGTATATTCCCCAGTCTTGTTTAATTCTCGCTGCAGTTTTAACATGAATTAACAGCTCATAAGGCACGCCCTTAAAACCTTAAAACGTGTGTCCATCCTATCTCATTGTGACAACATTTAAAGCAAACATTTTACTCTCCCGCCCACAAGTCGGCGCGCACACACAAGTTGACATAAGAAGTTAGGAGCGAAAAAGAGAAATTTAAAAAATGAACATTTCCTCCTCTTAAGACAAAGCCATCCTTAAATACAGGTTTTCTAAATTCTTGTTCGTCTCCTCCTTATTGACTCTGTGAAATGTCATGTGTGGTCACGTTCTACCTGCCTCCGTTCGGGTTAGGCAGCCATTTTGTCTCTCTTCGTCTCCATTTCGTCCTCGAGTGCTGGGTAATCCGCTGCTGAGAGCTATAAAACCCCCGGGAAAACGGGGGTCGTAAATCTTCAGTAAGAATAACAGAAAACGCTGGCCTGAAGGAAAAGTCTAGCGATTCGGTTTTGATACACTCATAACGCTAAGCCCCTTCATATCTATCTAAACGTCATTGCGTTTGCTTGTTGTCGGTGTATTGGTTATTTTCTGCCCTCTTTTCCCCTTGAATGATTTGTGGCTTGAAAGATTCTCAGTTTTACGGACGCGAAGCACTGTTGCCGAAAAATATATACATGCACGTAACATGTTGAAGATGAGATTAGAATGTAGAATATGCGGCTTTCAAGGAGGGTCTCGTTCTGTCTATATTATGTCGCCAAAAGCCAACATACCAACCGAATTGACTCCTCCCTCCTACCCACCCCTTCTCCCTCACGTCTCACTCCCTTTTAGCATGTGCACACAGTACAGTCAGAAGAAGCTACAACAAAATCCACAGTATATCCATACCTCCCCCCCCCACGACACACACA